GGTATTTTGACAATTGATCAATGCTACCAATTCCGTCTTTATTTTCATTGCACTCAGTAACGAGAGGGTGCATCATCAGTTTCCCATGCAGTTAGGCTCAGGGTCAACATGAGGATTTGAAAATTCCGCCACACCTAAGGTTAGACCCCGCAAAAAGGGTCAATAGTAATCAAACCCGATTCATCATTGTAAGACGTGATACCCAACCCAGTCAGTGGTCTTTCATAGCATCCGAATCCTGAACACATTGACCATGACTACCGTGCGCCTCAGTGAATCCCAGGCCTCGTCTCCTTGACTCCATCAGTAATGGCCACCAGCCCTTCAAATCGGCGTGAGATCTTCGACCGCCATGTCCAGTCTAGGTATATTTACCATGTCTCTGGGGGCAACTTGGTGCACCCATCATGTGCCACATGACGTCACATCAGCGTCTGCTAGCATGCGCTCCAAGTCGCGCATGCGCAATGTGCACGTTCGTCTGCTAGATTGCTCATGCGTGTCATGCGCTTTCGTCTACTAGTTTGCTCATGCCCAAAGCCGTCGGGATTCCATAGGGAAGGTGGGTCTGCCTTAGAGGAGATCTCCTTTTTCCACAATTGCTGCTTGTGCATGTTCTTTCAGGTACTTGGCTGTGACGAACGACTAACTTTTCATGTCTTCTCCGTAAAACATACACACGCACGTTCGCTCACCTCACTCCCTCACTCACTCACTCACTCACTCACTCACTCACTCACTCACTCTCCCTCCCTCCCTCCCTCCCCATTCACACTCTCTCCTGGCAAAAGGCGTGAACAATGTTAAGTGACCCCATCAGGTTGAGATTGAGATAACTGGGCGAATATAGTACATTCTCTATGTTCTCCTTCCTTAGGATATTATGTAAGTGATATTTAACTCGCATTTAACTAGCTTAGTTACTTCTTAATTCTTGTCTGCAATTATTTACTTTTATTCCTTTGAGAAGTATGTGAACGCCGTTCTCTTGAAGGAGGAAATCTCGTGGACTTGTCTATTTAGATTTCGCGAAAGCTTTCGATACAGTTCCTCACAAGAGGTTGCGGGCTAAACTGGAGGGGCACAGGATCCAGGGTAAGACGAGTGACTGGATAAGGAACTGGTTGGAGGCAAGATAGCAGCGAGTAATGGATCATCAAAAATTCATGGTGAGGTGTCGACTGAAGTTAAGGTTGCAAGCGGGGTCCCTCTGGGCTCGGTCCTGAGGCCACTTCTTTTTCTTGTTTATATATTAACGATTTGGATGAAGGCATAGCTAATAAAACAAGCAAATTTGCTGACGACACAAAAATAGGTTTTTCCTATCAAGGGGGAGGACAGGGCGAGAGCCGAGCAGGATTTAAGCTATTGGACGAGTGGAGTAAGAAATGGCGCACGAGTAATTGTAATCATATCGGTCGTTGCAACGATAAGTCTGAGTGAATTCGGCGTCGACAAGCTCGAGGAGGCAAACGGACAGATATTTAAGTTTAGCTAACCCTTTCATGCCACCCCCTACTTCCGTATGGTATCATCTACGGCCAAAGTATACTACACCAATTTTATTCTGACCCCATGTGCTAGAATGGAAGAACCTCCTTCATGGATGTGATGAGCAGAGGGTGAGCATTCTCCTTCAAGGCATTCCTGCCTTTTCAGAGGTAGGGGGAGAGGAAACTAGACAGCAGAGACGAACTTCCTTCCTCAACTTCGGCACAGACTGAACGACTAATGAAATCAATCATCTATTCATTTAAATAATAGCTTCATTCTCTGGTCCTATCTTCACATTCATTTCATTTACAGTGGCGCTCAGAAGTATTTGCACACTTGCCGTTTTGCACATCCCTGCAGGAATTTCCTCCTTTCCTACGGATGACGTATATTTACGTCGTCGGACTTAGCGCCTGGCTGATGCTGGAATAATACCGCTGGGATGCTGGACTGGCTCAGTCAATCCCGTGGTCAAGGGGTTAAGACATTACTTGAAGTATCAATTATGGAGATTTATTCAAAGCTAATTTATTTTTCTTTACTGTAAGAAGACTAATGTATGTTCAGGGTCATTTTGTTAGAACATCACTTTATATTTAACATGAGAAAAACATGGGAGTTGACAGACTTGGGAGTAGGTCAAAAAGGAAAAAATCGCAGCAACTAGTTATGCTCCTTTCTCGTTGAGGATCAGCTCAGTCCAGTTTCATCGATTGGAGAAAGGCAAAAGCCAGAAGCATAAACTCTCGTACGAGGAATCCATTTACTTCGAAGATCTACATGCTTGCTGTTGTTCGATTGACGCAAATGTCCCTTTCCTGTAAAGGGGTGGAGATCCATTGATAGACCCTATCCGGACGCAAAGCAAAAGTTCCATGCACTTGTCACTGCCAGCTCAGAGAACAGGGGTTATCCTGAAAAAGTCATTCTTTCTATGCCGAGGTTGGGAAGGGGAATTTTTCACGCTTAGTTTTTTCATGCTTCTCCTTAACTTCCACCCCTGTCTGAAGTCGACTTCCTTGAGGGGGAAATGCTCACCCTCCACTCACTACTTCCATGGTCTTCTTCCTTTCTTGCACATGGGGTTAGAATCAAATCGCTTAGGTATATTCATCCCCCAATTGTCCTCTCACCCTACCTCCCTCTTCCGTCAATACATGGTCTGGCAACCACTTTTTTTTCCACTCTCTCCCCTTCCCTTTCAAGCTTCCATGACAAAATATCTTAAATGCAGTACTTAGTTTTATCGCCATGTGAAGGGAGGGAGTCATGATTCATGAATGGCTAAAAGAAAAGGCTGTGCGCTAAGTAAGTCAAGCAATTCTCAACAACAGAGAGGTGATAGTCAGCAGGAGTGAATCCAATGAAAACGGTACCATTTGGAGGCAGAAAATACTAAAATTATTATTATTTTGATAAATAAAGAAATAAAGTGCACGAAGCAAAAGAAGTGCAAAAAACAAAAAAGTACAGAAGACGACCGGACGCGAAGAATCTGTTCAGCAGGAAGGATTCTAATATGCCAAAATAAACCTTAATAATTACAAGGAACTAAGTTAATAACTCTGGATTCATGGCAATGCCTGGAATAGAACTTCTCCTGTTGAAGGTGTTAGGACAGTCGGAAATAGAAGATCGATGAAGAGCTGGGAATAATGGAGTTGGGGAAGAGTAATGCCAGAGGAAAGTCACACCAGGTCCACCATGCCATCAACCATCAGGTCTCTAGATGTGGGAGGGAGTTGCATGTGGGTGAAGAAAAAGGAGAGGAATTCAACGATTTTCCGCCTCAATGGATCTGAGTGCTTATCGGGCTGCACCAAAGAATGTCCGGAAATTGGATCGCTTCCAACACCTGGATGCGGATCGCCAATCATTCCAAACCCATGTTATAGAAGTGAAGCGGCAGGCCATGGTATTCCATTTAAACAGCCCTCCATGGATGAATCCCACTTTGGAAATAGTTGAATCAGAGATCAGTGGAGCTGCTGTCACCCTCTGTGTCTTCCTCGGGGTTTTCACTGTCCTGAAGAGAGAAAAAAACAATTAGTCCTATGAATGTCGAAAGCCATGTGCATTTATAGGGTAGCCCAAAAAGGGGCACTCTTTAAATGTGCATTTTAGGTGACACTTTCATGAATATATTTTTCCGACTACATTTCATGGAAAGAAGAAAGACCTAGCTACAAAATCCTTTTTTCAGACTTGAAATATTTTAAACAGTGACTTAAAAAATAACTTTTTAATTTTGGTTATGAGAAATGGGCGCTGCACCCTCCGGCTTCACCTAAAATGCGCATTGACAAAGAGTGCCCTTTTTTAGGACCACCTTGTAGGTAGGAAACACGGAGATGCAACTCACAGTAAGGACACCGAGGTATTGTAGCATCCACATCTCGTCATCTACCATATCCAAACTGGGATGCCTTCTGCCATCCTTGAAGAGGGCAAAAGCATCATCCATGAAGCGCTTGAAGACGTCAAATTTCTCTTGTTTTAACTTGCATTAGTACATACATTTTATTAAATGCTCCACAAAGTGAGCCTTTTTACTCGAATAATCTGGCAAACTTACCTTGGCGTGCCGTCACATACCTTCAATGGCGTTCGTATGGGTTGGTGGATCAGTGCTCTGATTGACGAACTGTAGTCTGTGGTTCACCGTCAGGTGTTTGAAAGCCTGGGATTTTGAGATGTCATTATATGCAGCCCAACAATCAGTCATAATCAATGTCCCAGGACAAACCCAGATTCGAATGAGGCGGAGTAGCGTCTCTGAATTCCTCTCCTTGACGGGAACGAAGAAACACCTTCCTGTTCCTCGCTCCACGCCGCCAAAAACCCATTGACCCTCGACGTGGTGGCCTCGGTGGTATTTCCTGCGGCCGAACTTACTTTCGTCCAAATCTTCCCCTCTCCACCGATCCTCTCCCCTTTCCAAATGCATTCCTCAATGCATACCTGCGATTAAGGAGACTTTACATACACCAATATATATGAGGAATGTCGTGACATGCGTGTAGAAAGTCTCATGAGTGATGTAATCCAGGGGCAAGTCATGAATTCAGAGATAAATGATATGCAAAATGTCGATTAATCTTAAATTTGAATATTGAAAGAAGGAATCCTTCCTGACCGATACAAACTGATCGCATATGGTTTTCTTCTGTCTCTTCTTTGATCCACTCGTCCTGGTGGATGAGGAGGTCCTTCAGCATCTGAATGCGACACGTCACTTATTTTGGAAGCATTCATAATTATCATATGTTCCCCGCACTTGGGGCACGCCCTCTCTCTGTGCAGCCATCCATTTTCAATAAGGATTTGGACCAGGTCAGGAGCTGTAATATAATCGTCAGAGGATTAGATTGATACTTCAATTCATCCATTAGCACGTTACACCATGAATGAAATTAGGCAGAACCGTTTCAGCCTCGGGACTGTTTGACATACAGTAGAGGTCTCTTGTGGATCAAGTAAAAAATATAGCTTTCATCTTTTTAAGCAAAAATACTTGTGCCAAAGCATGTCAAACCATCAAACACGATGCTTACTATGCCAACCAATACGGTTCGTGGTAGTGCCTACTACACCTTGCCAACAAATACGTGCACGAAACACATTACCATAGCTGGTATTACTTACGTTGCAAACTGGCCAATGAATGGATTTTGGAAGCAGTCCAATTTTCAGTGAACTTTTCGTAGCTGCTTGAAGGTCTCCCTACTTTAGCTGGTGGTGAATCGGACATTGGTGTTCAGCAAGTAAAGTGGCGCTGCAAATGGAGGCAAAATGGACAGGCAAAGCGGAGCCACAAAATGGTCAGGCAAAGCTGTGGTAGCAAGGGGAACCATTCTCCCCATATATATATCTGGAGTTAAAAGGAAAAAAAATTATTCATGTCATGGGGTTTATGGGTACATGTATTCACTTCCGGGCATCCAGACAGGAATCGATCGGAGGAGGGGGGGGAATTCTGTCACTTTTTTTCTCTTGGAAAATCCAAGGTTTTCTCCATAGCTTCGTTTTGAATATATGAAAAAAAAATCCTTATCTGTTCTCTTATCTGTAATATCTGTATTCGGGGAACCGTCCAATTTTTATTCGTTACTGTGAGCCGGTTACGGTACAAGTACCGATACATCTCCCTTCTTACGAGTAGTTCCACCTGAAGTCACTGTCATAATTACCACTGTATCTCATAGTTTCACATGTTTTGACACTAATATTTTATTTAAAGAGATGGGAGAGATATTTTTCCTTTAATCAGCCAGATACCTTTATTATGCATGAAACTGTCCCAAGGCTGAAACGGTTCGGCTTAACCTCAGTCATGGTGTCACGTGCTAATGGACGTACTAAAGAATCAATCTAATCCTGACGACGATATGACCTCCTATTTACCTGGGCCAGGTAGTGATGGCAAACGGATGGCTGCACGCACAGAGGGCGTGTCCCAAGTGCGGAAAATCTATGTCATTCATGCATGCTTCAAAAATAAGTGACGGAGTTGCATACAGATGCAGAAGGACCTTCAGGAGGACGAGCGGATCAAAGTAGGGACAGGAGAAAACCGATGCAAACTCATCGCATCTGGTCATGAAGGATTGCTTTCTTAAATTCGAACCTTCGCCTGCGCACAGGTACTGTATCTCGCCGATCTCTGGCGCCAGCTCGGGTAGGGAGAAATACTCAAAATGATATCTATAGAGAGACGTTCACAGTATCATACGCACGATCGGAATCTGCATTCTCCAACAAGCTTGTTAAACACTTGGTACGAGCACGCCATCTATGTATCATTGTAGGAAGACATTAACCACCCCTTCGTGAAAAGATGACAGGTGAAAATAGGGAAGAAACACCTGGGTCTTGGAAATGCGTCGAGGCAAGTTTTCTCGATCATTTCTCGACATCGCATACCTTGACTCAGATTGGATAAAAGGAGGAAATGTTTTGTAGATCACAGAGAGAAAAGCACGGCATGAGAATATATCATTTGTGGCGTTATATTTCTCGAAATCATTGCACTATATTTTTATACTATTACGTGACCTCCGCCCTCAATCGTGTCAACTTCCGTCGTTGTAGTGCGACGCTCGCTCTCATTCGACACAGGGGAGGGGCAGCGTCAACGGGTTTGTACCGTCCGTCATTACAATTTTTCCCTCTCATTTCTTCTAAATATATTATACCCTTTAGCAAAAGACCAGGAAATATAGGTTTACTAGTATTTCAATTGAAGTAGTTATTTCTTGATTAAAATTAATGTATTACGTATTCCTAGTTAGCATACACCTCAGACAGGATAGGTCCTACCCCGCTTAGGATGGGTTGTCCAAGACTTGTCCATGCCCTGAGAGGTGTTGAACTCCATGTTAACGTGTCTCTTAATGAAGATGCTCGAATGGCATTGTCCAGTATGCAAATGGACTCCTCAGTTGGCACGGACGGGTTTTGAATTCCGTGGGGCTATTTCAATACATGTTGTGTGGGGAATGCAGGACCGGCAATGTTGTGCTGAGTAGTTCTAGTGTCTAAAAATAAAATTTTTAATGAGGAGGTCCGTCAAATACTTTTAAAACCGAAACGGGATCCATGTTTCATTTGCGCAGACTTCCCGTGGGTCCCACTCTTAGAAAAAAAACCCCTAAAATTGTAAACTTAAATCATGAAAATTTTCCAGTTGTTTTTGTGGTGTGCAAGCAGCTCATATTATAAATCGGTTGAAATTTCATAACTACTAGTCTGTAAAAAAAAAAGGGCGTTTTCGGCCACCATACGACATGGCGGCCCACTTCTCCTGCATTCCCCATAGATATTAATGTAAAATACTTGAAAACCTTAGATATTGCTTTTCAGTCCAAGCGCCTCCATATCTCATGCATTAATGGCTTCAGGGAGTCCTGAAAGACCCATCCCAGGCGGCTCTGCAGAAATCTGAGAGTGGGGAGTAATTGTAAAGGTGGTCCCAGTTTTCAAGCATCGGTTAATTACGTTAGTTGCTCGCGAGTTCTTTCCGAGGACTCGTTGAATGTATACGTTATCAATGGACCGAAGCCTGCCAATACTGATGCTGACACGGGTACCGACATGTTGGCGACTATAGATGTACTTCTTTGATTGTGAAATTCATTTGTCAGGACTAGTTTTCACCCGTATGAAATAACACTTTCGTTTCCTTTCCACGTGTCTTCCGTTTCAAGATATTCTTTGGTTCCCACTATCGTGTGGAGGGCCTTACATGTAGACTGTTAACGTTAACTTTAGGCCGAAAGTAAGGGAAAGAAAATTTAGCATCAGCGGTTAAACGGAGGGGGAAAGTGTCCGGCCTCTCTCCGCTGACAGGACAAGCTGTCTAAGAGGACAACTGATAACAAATGAGAAAACGGTGTTCAAGCAACAAGGACATATTATTTTGTTATAGTTAAGAAAGAAAGGAATTTCACAACCGGTTAATAGGAGGTGTTGAGAACTTGAAAAGAGTCATTGTTAGGCTGCGTCCGCAGGAAAGTTCGAAACTAGATAGAACTTGAAAAAGGTTCCACTGCCACCGAAGACGGCGTGAGCAGGCTTGGGAGGGACGAAAAGCGGACACGAACTACAGACAGTTAGAGACTGACGGCTTCAGATTGCCCTTGCCGGCACAGGTAGTACCATCACAGACAGCACTAGCGGACGGGAGGGGTTGGACGGCGTGACCGGAAAGGGGGAGGGCACACCCCCAAACACAATAGAGGCCGTCGTGGTAAAAACCCCGACATGGGTATAGCCCATGCAGGACCGCGAGCAGACTACCACCCCGCGGCGACCCTACGACTCTACTTTCAGCATGTTCGAATTTTTATATTTTTACTTGTATGGCAGGAGCATGCTTGTTTAGAAAGACTAAAACAGTCGATTTTTGTTCTGTTTCTTGGTCGAACTGGCAGATCCAACTCTGTTGGGTCTGGTCGAAATCCAGGAATAATCGAAAAAGTTAGGAAACTGGTGGCCAGAGAGTGTCGATTGAGTCTGAAAATAATGGAGGATGAACTGAGCATAAGAGGCGAGACGATTCATCAAATTTCGCATGACTATTTGGGAAAGCGGAAGGTCTGTGCGAAGTTGTCTCGGTTGCCTAAGCATCTGGAAGGTGGATGCGTACGACAGACATTCATCCCACTTCGTGTCATCGGCGGGAAGATGAAGGGGCCGCCCCCCTCGTCCAACTCAAGAAAAACTTTTTTTCAGCATTTTTCAAATTGTCAAAGCTCTAGTCATGGTCCAGTCACATGAAGAAGAAAGAGCCTCGAATGAAATCTCTTGTATTGAATAACACCCAATATTAGGCGTGAACTTGAAATGTGCTAAATTTTTACGTCGAGAGAGATAGAGTGAGCGAGTGAGAAAGAGGGAAGAGAAACCTGGGCAAGTAGGAAGCAAATCTCAGGGTCGCCTTTAAAAATACTGAAAATATATAACGTTTCATTCATAGACGGTGGGCTTCGTGCTTGGGGTCCTCCGATCCTAAGAATGCAGGGGCTTAGACTCGCAAAAAAGTCAGACTACGTGGCATTTCAAACCGTGGTCACCCGTCACGTGAGCCCGACACACTACCGCTGAGCAACTGACTTAGCCCAGCATCTTATTGCTACTGCACCCGTAGGTCCTCGACTTTTATTCGCAAAGCGACGAATATGAGATCTGTAACTTTCCGAGGTTCCAAGCTTTCCATCGATACCGGATTCGCTGGGATGCGACGAGCGGGAGAGGAGGAGTTCCCGGACAAACAGATAGACAAACAACAGTAATATTATATAGATTCTTTCAATGGGTGTTGAGAAATGGCCTGGCATCAATTAGTCATTGTCTTAAAATGGAAAAAAAATTGGCCGGTCATTTTTTTAATGGAAGAAGTAAGTTTCATTCTGACTCTTTAAATATAAAGTGCAGCTTCAGCTTATGGAATAACTGAAACGCAAGATGAATCGGATAACCCAGGCCGCCACGGACATTAAGAATGTCATGCAGCTTGCAGGCCGATAGGGGAACAGATAGGCAGAAATTGATTTCGGAAGCTCGAGGAACTGCGATGGGCGATTCGAAAGGCAAAAACCGAAAAAGAACGGGGAAAGATCGAAGGAGTTCATATTCTCTGGCAATCACCGCCGGATTACTCCCATCGATCAGCACGAAACTCAGAAGATCGAGTGAAATAATAAATAACGTCGTCATC